AGCACAGCCCTGCCCGATCCCCCTTCAGAATTCAGTAATAAACTCAAAGGGACTGAAATTCAGGGGATTTTGGCAATCAATTTTGGCATGCTCCTCCCAAAATAACGCATGGGAGACGGGCAAGGAGCATGCACAGGACTGTGGAGCTGAAAAACAAATGCAGCAGCATCTGAAAGGTCCTGCAGGTAAGAAGGGCCACCAGGAACACGGGAAAACAAGTTCCCGGGAGCAGCACTTCCCTGGGATCCCCTTGCTCTCCCTCCAAGGAGGCATTTCCATCCCAAGGAGATGCAGTTCCTGCCTCCCCCTGCGGTACAGGTGAATACGCCTCAACAGAAAGGGGGTGCGAGGAGCACTCTGGAGGAACTTCAGCCCTCTAAGTGGATATGCTCTTCAGCCCTTGCCGTGCAGGATGGCGTGCCTTTTGTAAGGGGAAGGAATGAAGATTACTTTCCCAATGTCCCGCTAATTGCTGAAAAAGATGAACTTGCCCCCATAAAGCCCAGGCTGCACTGAGCCAGCCTTGGGCTGCAGTCCCCACTCCGCTGCCTCCCAACTCGTCCAGCCATACGTGATTTCATAGCATGAAAAAATAATTACGGCTTCTAAATTGCAAAGAGATTTAAATAGCAAGTAGCTTGGCCCCGTGAAGTATGTGCAGTTGTTTAAGTGCCTCTGGTGCTCTGTAAGAGCTGATAAATGCCAAGCTGCCACAGGAATCAGCCACCACCTCCAAGCTGCAGGAGAGAGCTCAACGCCTCATTTAAAGACAAGCCACCCAAAACCAAATCTGCCTTAGGACTAAATGAAGTCTTGGAGCTGTAAGTGAAGTGAAAACCTGAAACGACAATACACACGCTCTCTATTTTTATTGGTATTGTTCTTGAACTTTGTCAATGTATCCGTCTTCTTGATTGTTCTTTCTTTGGGTTTAAAAGCGACATGGGGACTTCTGGACTGCCAATTTTTTTAAACCAGTCACCATTCCAAGAGCTGTTTAGGTTTTCTGCAGGCCCTACCATTTGAAGACTACTCCAGAAGCCCAGCAGAATTCTCTGCAGCTGAAGGCAGTGCCCGAGCAGTTCCCGAGCAGCAGGTGGGAATGAGACCACCAGGAGCACCACGCTCCTTGCGACACAGCTACTGTTTTGACAGGGACATTTAAATCCCAGACAGCCCATTGCTGGTTTATGGCCTCTGTAGAGTAAGTTGGGCAGGAGACATGCCTGTAGGCAGGCCCTTTGCTAGAAGGCTGCCTGTCAGGCTGGAGTCGAACGCTGCAGGAGCCAGTGCTGCTGCAGGAGCAGGCTCTTGCCTGGGCTCCTCCCAGCTTCCCCCTCCTCCGGTTTGCAATCAGTGCCAGCTTTGCCGACATCCCAAACTATGCCTGATTAACATCAGCAGCATTTCTCCTGCGCGGACTTTTGAACTGGCAGTTAGTACAGGAGGAACAGTTTGCAGCAGGGAAAAAACAACCCAACCACTTTCCAGATGAACACAGAACCATCCTTGGCTTTCCGCAGAAACGAGCCTGTTGTTTGTAGGCTTGCAGAATCTGACTCCAGGGGCTGGTCTGTTCTTGCTCAAAGAGGGAAAACAAGCCTGACCTCAGTGTGCTGGAATAAACTCTGCCCCCTCCTTCCTTCCACGCTTCTCCCAGTGCAAAGGTAAGGAACATGATATCCAGCAGCGTGACCGAGCTGGCCGAGTGAAGCGTGACCACACACTCTCCTGTTTACCGACATCGAAAACAAGACCACAAGAGCCATGGATGTAAACTGACTGGAGCACTCCTGCTGCCATTCATCAGGCTACGCCGGCCAGCACTTCCCAGATGGCAAAAGGTCCTCGTAAGCCAGCCGGCCCCCAATACAGCAAGTACAGCACACTCGCTATTTAGCACATGCCTCTCCGTGCATGGTCGGCCCCGCTTGCAGCGGACACTCCCCTATCTCCCACTTGTACCATTTCCTACCCAGCCGATAAGCAGGCTGCAATTTCCTCCCGGCGGATATTGCACACCAGCGCCTGCTGGCAACAAAGCCCGAACAAAGAACCTAAAAGTCGTCGTGCAAGACTTGGACTGGCTCTGCCACTCTCATTAGGAACAGCTACACGTCATGGGAATTTGTCACACCAACAGGTTTGGACAAAAACCTTGTTGTATTTGGACCTTCTTGACCTATGCCCTGTTTACGGTACGGGCCAAAACCCTTTGCTCAAGCCGGCTCTGCAAACATGCAAGCGGCTAGCGATGCAAGTACCAGCACTTTAAGAGATACCTTGACGTGAGTGTGGGCAGCAAGGAGGGGAATTCCTTTTCCGAACTAACTGGAAGCAGCAACAGTTGGTAATGCAAAGCATCTCCCAGGGCTGCAGCCTGCAGCTGCCAACGTTCCCTCAAAGTCAGGGCAAGGCTCGAAGGAAGCCAGATCATCCATTCCAGCCCACCAGAAAACCCGTGGTGCCAGGAACTTCGTGGGAGGCAGCCTCTGCAGAAGAGCCTTTCCACGAGCATCGTCCAGCTCACCGGCCGGAGGAACTTGCTCTGCTTCCCTCGGACACTCCAAGATCCGGTAGATCGCAGAGCAGACAGGAGGCCGATGCTATCAACTATTCCAACCGTGATTAATAAGAAGTTCTATTAAAAGATTAGAAAGAACTGAGGAATATGAGATTCAAAACCTTATCCTTCTGTAGCGAGTGACTGATGATGGTGCTGCTAGTCCTTAGGATTTTTAAAGAATGCTCACATACATGGCAAAGCATAAACGTCCCAGACACTGCACTCACAGAATGACCAAGATACCAACCCTACCACCTTGGCAAATGAAGGTAGATGGGCAGTTTTCCTGACAATCTGACTTGGCGTTTTAAAGTGAGAACTAGAAAAAACTGCATTTGCACAGGCTCTAAAGCCTAACTCCAGCCTGCAGTCTGCTCATTTTGCTATCAAAGATTTCAGGCACTAAAGAGCCCATGCATTTTAGGCAGAACAGAGCCAGTCAGCATGCGATTTGTACGGAACAGCCTCGACGTTCCCCTTCCAGAAGGGAGCCCTGCTCCGGTAGGAGCAGCGTGGCACAGCCCGCCGCAGGCAGCTCAGCAGCGGGGCTGGTGCAGAGCTCTGGCCCCCCCAGCCCAGCGGGACGACACGACCTCGTTCAGCGCCATCAGGTAACGCAGAACAGCTCATGGAAAATGAAGCCATCAAATAGCAAAAGGCTCCTTTTAAGATGCCTGATGGATCCCTAATCAAGGAACTCGGGAACTGTTACATGCCGTCCCACAGGGCTAAATTAAAGCATTACTGGCAGGTACTGCTGACCGACAGATAACGAACTGACACCGAGATGCATCAGCACGAGATTGTGATTCAGAGCAGTGCTGCAATTAGGTAATGAGGTAACGACCTGCTGTGCAGCATTGCGCAGCATCTCACTCAGGCAAGGAGGGCACAGACCCACACCAGAAGTTCAGGTTCCCCCAGCGCTGCCCTGTTAGTGAAGTTGAAGGAAGAGAAAGGCATTACTGAAGGTGAAGTTGCTCAGATCGCACTTGAAGTTAAGCACCCTTAATGGGATAACCAACGCCAGGTTTAAGTCTGCTGCTTAGTGCTCTAAATAGGCTAAAGATCTTGGTCCAGAGGTAGACTTTGTCAGGCCTCTAAAAATACATACACCTATAAATAGTAAATCATTATCAAACAATTGCATCTGGACAACGGATGCAAAATACCCAGGGTACAGAGTGAGCCTGTAAAGTTTAACTTTCCCCCATTAATTCCTCCAAGGGATGAGCAGATTCTTTTTCCCTTGCCCACAGAACTCCTGCCATTTTCCAGCACACAGCCCAGGATTTTTGCTAAGTAACAGCTGCAACAGCCAGTGCACATTTGCTTTTGGAAGCAAGTCGCTAATTGTGAAGTTGCTAGGAAGTCTGTTCTGGCAACTTGCTCTGGAACATTTTTTGAGTCCTAAAAAGGGAAGGCTTGGAGGAAAGGCAAGCAAGGAGGGCCTTCCCTATGTCCTGCAGGGCTTCACACCTCAAGGGATCTATGCTTCAAGCTCGAAAGCCACAGAAACCATTTGACAGGACCCACGCTACTACACTTCGAGCTAAAGGCCCTCCAAAGGCCGAGCCTGGCCAGCAGCTGCTCCCAAGCAGCTCAGCGCCTTCGGGATCTCAGAGCAATGGGAAGCATTGCCAGCAGCTGTGCTGCTGGAGGACAGAAAGCAGCTCAGCACCCCAGCTTCATGCACAAAGGCATCTATGCATGAGCAGTTTCACGTGGGGGAAGGTGCAACTCCAGACCACACAGCCCTGTTAAAAAAAGAAAGGAAAAAAAAAAAAAAAAAAAAAAAAGAGTAATTCATAACTGAAGCTTAAGTGTGAAATGCCTTAAATACTCATCGATCTCAGGAGGAGCAGAGGTGACCAAGGATGGCTAGCACGGACCAACGCAGCACGGTACACGGGCACCGTATTTGCCTACCCAGCCATTTCGCAGCAAGCAGAGCGGTCTGCCGAGAGGCCTGGGGTATTCAGGACAGTTCCTACACAAGCACGCGTTCCCACTCAGGCTGTGTTTTCCCTCTGAGCAAAAGAGGAAAAAGTTTAAAATAAACCTCGCAGACGGCAGCATTCCATTTGCAAGAGTTCATTCTTTAAAGAAACGGGACAAACTAATTCCTCAGTAAATATTCGGGGTTGCAACTCTGCTTAGCAGTATCTCATTGAACACTTGCAGGGTTTGAGAGCGCCAGCAACACAGGCAGGACAGCAGCCCATGGAAATAACGGCACTTATTTCAGCAGTAACAGAGCTATTTTTAAAAATTTTACTTATGGGATGCCAATTTCCTGAAGCTGTTTGGAAAATTCAATGTAAAAATGTACAAACACAAGTGGAACAAAAATGTGCTGTAGCAACAGCCTTCTTTTGCTAGGAGACACGCTAGATATGATTCTGGACTTTCCAACTTACTTTCATCCAAAAAAAGTCACCTTTTCCTCCATTTAGAGGACGAATTAAGAATAGCAACAAAAAAAAAAAAAATCTGTATGTCCACAGCAAAAAATGTTTGCTTATAGAGAAAGCTTATTCCTAAAAAAAAAAACACAAACCCAACCTTCCCATTTTAGCAAATGCTTCCAGCTGTTATAAACGGATCACACCAGTGACAATACACTTCTTGACTCTAGGGATGCTTAGGTTTAACAGAATTAGATTGGCTCAGTGCCTCTGCCAGGCACATAAGCAATACAAGAACTTCTTTTATGTCGCTGACAACCTCCTAAAAATTGGAGGAATTTTAAAATGTACACCAACTTAACAACTGCTTGAAACAGGAAGAGGAGGTGAAAGAGTATCCAGCTGAAGCAGCAAGGGAGAATTCATTACACTGTAAATACCAGAGGGAAACACAGATGGGATGCTGAGGTTTATAATTCTTAAAGTGCCATTATAAAAGTGCGCAAGCATTTGCTTTTAAATATTATGACAAGCAGCTGAACGGCATAAAGTACAGCTCTTTTCATAGGCTGCACTGACAATTCAGGAACTGTTCCAGTAAAACAAGTACTAAACATCAACAGGCTGTTGACTTTAAATCCCCAAAACCACCCCGCACACACACAATGATGACAAACTAGCATTGCTTCCAAGCTAGCAATAAAGCACTCCCCAGGGAGGGGAGCTTGCCCCCTTTCCTACCAGATGGGTAAAGTTCACCTCGTTCTGCCATTACTGAGAGAAGAAAAACATCTCGAGGAAGGATTTAGAAGCAAGGTTAATAGTTTTGGTTTAAACGTGGATGTTTCTCCTGGGATAGTTTTTTATCTCAAAGCAACTCACGAGGTCATTTCAATGTGCTTTCGTGTTATACAAGTGTCCTATCTTCCAGGGGCTATCAAGCAATTTCATACAGTCAATTAGGAGAAAACCTAAATGCCTTAATGAACCCTGGGCAACAGGGTGCGTTTGATAGATCAGCGAGTGCTAGGCCAGGGCAGCATTTCTGCAAGGTGTTAAGTCACCGGTAAAGGTGCCTTCACGGAACTTTTAGGAACTGGGCACAAATGGATTAAAAACTGCTTCCTAAATTAACAGATAGGTGCGGTGAGAGTCCTGACGGGCAGCAGAGAACTGCTGGTTATTCACCACGCAGAGCTGAACGCAACGAAAGGGCTCACAAACGGGTCCTGAAAGCAGAAGCCAAACCCAGCAGTGACAACTCATTCACAGGCGCTGCCACAGAAACAGCTTAAAAAGGAAGAAAAGCACGCTGGGCTGGGGAGAGACGCGTGCTTCTGCTTCAGTTAAAAACCTGCCTCCTTGGTGAGCAAAGATTTGCTTTTGAGATGGAGACTGGTGTAAGCGTTTCCTGTTTGGAGCCCTAAGGCAAAATATTACAATATAACAACCTCCATTAGTTTTCCTTTTTTTTTGTTTTTCTCCCCAGCTCCTTCTGTTTTGAATTAAGTCTGCAGTTGACTCTGGCTCACAGCAAAGCTCTACGCTGATCCCACGAACATCCTTCCCCTCTTGGAGGAGACACCAAGTGCAAAAAGTAGGGCAAAATGACGCAAGTGGGCCAGATAGGACATTTTTTTAGGAAAGTGTGGCAAGAGGAAGCGCTGCTGTATCCCTGCCACAGCCTGGGGAAAGGACCAGCAGTCACATGATGATATACAGCTCCTAATACATTTGCTAATGAGTCTGCCAGTCAATTACTCATTTCAAATGGTTTCAAGGACTTGCGCTCCCTTCACATTCTAGAGACTAATGCTGTTTCTCGGATGACGAGCAGAAGCAGCGCACGCCTGGCAGCTGATGCCGTGCGGTCCAGCTACCAGGGACACACTGCCCTCTCTTGGAGACTCCAAAACCAGCCCCGCAGAAGGATGCTGAACACCAACACGCTGTCAGCATCTCTTAAAAAATAATTTCTGCCCAAGAGACAAGTCAAGAGGCAACAAGCAACTCTGCTAACACTCCCCTGCCTGAGGAAGGAAGTGTGAATGCCTATTGGAAGAGCTGCTCTTAAGGTAAGTCAGTTTTAACTAATAACCTTCACTTTAGCTTTATTTCATCCTATCAAAACCTTCATCTTTTCACCTGGAATTGTACAGCAGATAATGCACAGCACAACTGTGTCTATCCCAGAGACTGTTATAACATCTAAAGAGCAGCAATACTGTGATGTACTAACAGTCATCACAGAAAAAGAATGTAATTCAGAAAAAAAACTTCCCAACTTACAGGCAACAGCTACACGTCAGCTTTCTGTGTGACCTTGGGGCAATTTTAAACACTTAACTCCCTACCTTGGTCAAACTGTCTCTAAGTGGACTCAGAGTGCTGCTGTCACGTTCACACTACTCACCTGTAAGATACCCCTGGTTTGGGGAGACAAGGACACAAAGACAGGGAAAATTAACCGTGAGGCAGGAGAGAAGGTCTGGATGGCTTTGTGGTGTACTGCGGCGTAAACGTACCTGGTCAGAGCGCGTTCACACCACCTTCTTCAACACAGAGGCAGATGCACTCTCTGGCTTGAAAAAAAGGACAGCTCTCCTAAAAAAGGAAATGGAGAGAGCTTTCAGCAATTAAAACGTTCATGCAGGGAATGCCTGCTACTCTGAACATCAGGCTTTGATCCAACCCGCTGAAGCACCTCACACCTTTTTTATTTATTTTTTTTCATTTAACGAAGGCAGACACAGTAGCCATATGGCTACAAAGACCCTTTTTACACTGACATATTTTCTCCCTGCTGGAAACCAGGCTAGACTTGGCTATTACAGACCTCTGTAAAGTCACCCAATAAGTAGGAGGGACACGTCACGTGGATTCAGTGATTAGCAGCTTCGCAGCTATGACGGTCGGCCAGCTTTAAGGCCGACTCCTGCCATGGAGGCAGAGCACCTGCCTGCACTCAGTGCAATTTCATATCTGAGTCTGAAGATGGCTCCATCGGCACAAGAGATGCCATCCGCTCCTGCCTCCCTATGCACAAGGAAAAAAAAAAATCTCATTAGGCAGACAAAGAATGAAGACATATTCAGAATGCTTAGTCAGCCATCAATCACATGTTATTTGTCATATGCTGACAACAACGATGCGGTGAAGGCAAGGAAGCAGTCACATACATGCTTTATGTATTTCTAAAGATGTAAGACTGCGATATAGAAGCTACAACAAAAGAAAGTAGAGGAAAATAGCTTGAGCAGCTCATGGAAGTCAAAGAGAAAAAGAATGACAAAGACAGATTTAACTAAAGAAAGGGAAGAGGAAGGCATATCTGCAGCATTTCGGGTTTTGTTCCTCCCCACAATGATCAAATTAAAAAGCCCACACACTTAATTTAAGTACAAGTTAAAGGGGAGCTGGAAATACAGTCATTCAGGATCACTACTGAGGCTGGGAAAACTGCTGCATTATGTTCCTTTGTCAAGCAGCAGATAATGAAATCTGCAAAGGAAAATGCGGAATTTGGACCCATCACACAAGAGCCAGAGGGAAACCAAGGAAATCTTTGGTACGGGTTTACCAGGTGGGACCTAAGGAGCTCTGGCCCCACAAACACCACCCCCCACAGGGCATGGGTAATGATGAAAGGGCACAGAAGTGGCTGTGCAAGATCCCAAACCCACGTCCTCATCACAGCTACAGCTGTAACGCTACCCTCGCACACAGCCCAAGTTTTAGAGCCCAATAGGGGTTGGTTTGGTTCTTTTTAAGCACAACGTAAAAAACAGAACTTGGGGAGGGCACATGCCCAGGACCCAATTACATAGCTGTGATTTACTAATAAACCTTTCCCCAGGGAACCTCCACAATGTTTAATTTATACCTTTGAAAACACCTCTGATAAAACCCTGGCTCCACCAACGTCAGGCAAGATTTGTCATTGACTTAAGGGTAAACGTCCTTGTTGCATTTCTGTTTACATTGCATTGTGTCCAAAGCTCCAGATAGGACTTCAGGATTTAATTTGTGGTGACAGGCAGTCACCTCAGCATTTCCAACAGCCAGCCAACCCCTGCAAACACAAGGCTACTGAGACCCTGATAAAACCCTGGCTCCACCAACATCAGGCAAGCTTTGTCATTGACTTAAGGGTAAACGTCCTTGTTGCATTTCTGTTTACATTGCATTGTGTCCAAAGCTCCAGATAGGACTTCAGGATTTAATTTGTGGTGACAGGCAGTCACCTCAGCATTTCCAACAGCCAGCCAACCCCTGCAAACACAAGGCTACTGAGACCCCTCCGAGGCTTGACCCTAGATGAAACCCTCTCTATTAGAAGAGAAACATCCAATTCATGCTAAAACCTTTAATGGGAGAAAGGGAATAGAGAACAGGAACATTATTATTTTAGGTAAAGCTTTTGCAAGGTTGGCTTTCCTTTAAGGTGTGATAAAAACAATCGGGTAACTCCGGCTGGTGCTGCAGGGGGCCACAGGGCAATAGCAGGGCTGCTGCTGGTGCGCGGCCTGTTTTCATGGCAACTGCACTAAAACAGATGCTGCGAGCCCTGCGAGGGCAAGTAGCTGCAGAGCTTGTTTCTCGAGGGAACTGTTTAATGTCTAATCATTAACAGTAAAAAACACCCCAGATAAAAGTCAGCTAGCGATAGACTAAAGCAATGATGCATTTCAAGTCAGCAGAGTCATTACAGTCACCAGGAAGCGCGGGATGTTTGCTTGTTCCTGTTATGGCTCTACCGTGTTTCCCCTGCAGAGGGGACAGCTTCGCAGGAAACAATATAAATTAGAATTAGAAAGAGTCATCTATTTGTTCTTCAAACCTCCCTCATCCCAACAGCAAGAGCATTCGCTCCAGCGCGCTGAAGGCAGCAAGATCAGCCGTGCTCACGCACGTTAGGGCATTTTAAGCTGCTGCTGCCATGACCGATGAGAAGCGGCAGCAGCGGCGTTGTGAGCTTGCTTGCCACAAGGACTGCAGTTACGTGGTCTGGAAGGTGCAAAATTAAAGCGTGTCAACCACATCACTTGCCTGGCAAGGTTGTGAGGGCAAAGCAACCCCAACGTGCACCTGCAGGGCCCTGTTCTGCAGTAAAGCAGCACGCTTGGGAGTGCCCTAAGATGCGTTAACCATCCGCTGCCCGCACGGCACATCTGCCCTGTGGAAGAGATGCCAGGCATTCCGTGCTACACGCCAGGACCGGGACGGGCAGGCTGTAGACACAGTCACAGCATGTGCACTGCACAGCCCAGCCGCGCATCAGCACCCGTCTCCTACCTGCAGCTTCTGAGCATCATCAGCTGCTACAGCTCTGACCTGACTGTCAGGCAAACACGGGCACCGCTAAGACGACACGCAAAATGTCAAGTCCTCTCACCCTTCCAAGAAATCTGCTGCATTAAGACACCCGCTAGACTCACCCCAGTCCAGCCCACGAGGCATCAATATCTACTAGCCCGCGTACTGGAACAGAGAGGCATTTGTTCCCTTTCGTATCAGCGCTACCCTCTGGGCTAAAATTGAGACCACTGCTGAGAACAAAGCCCCTCAGCTGCCAACAGGCACCAGGTCCCCAGACCCTCCTTCCACACGCCTCGTCAGGGGGCATCCACCTTGAGCCCCCTCCGAGAAAGCCTCCAAAGCTGCAGCTGTAAGCAAGCACAGGGGAGGCTGCTGCAGCTGGAGCCTGAGGAGATAACACGTGAAATGAAACAGAACTAAGCCAGATCATCTTAAATTTATATGAATGGTCCTTTTTCTTTGCTACCAGAGGTATGTCGACTCCGCGGATGAGGATGGAGAAAGCCAGCATCAGAAGCGCCATCTGCATCATCCTCACTAAACCTTTCGAGTACTTTTATCACTTCACCCCCTGCCAAAAAAAAAAAAATCCCTGTTAAAGAGACCTAGTGTTCAAAGACAGGTTCTAAGAAAATCTGTGTAAAAAAGTCCAAAAGACTTTATAAAAAAGGCAGCAGCGCGTCAGCAACCGTATCTGCCTTCGCTTCCTGAAGCTAAACCATCGCTCTGTCCATCTCACAATAACCCCAGGCCCCGTACCCAGCTGTAAGCATGGTGCTCTCTGCCAGAAGATGCCTCCGAAGAACCAAGCATCTCCTGCTGGCCACGCAGGACTCGCCATCTTTCCAGGAACACAATGACAAAAGCCCACATGCCACGGCACGGCACCATCCCCGCCCAGCCGAGCCGCAGCAGCGGACAACGGAACGGCAATGCTTTCGACACGCAGCTTCACACTATGAAATATTAAGAAAAATTACTTAGGGTTATGAGATGGCACCACAAAACAAAATGTACGTCCACAGGGTTTTAACAGAGACGTTTGCCGCTCGCTCTTAATCTCCAGCCCCTGTATTTATAGCAAAACTACTCAGGTAACAAAGGTTTGCTGTGCTTGAGCGCATCACAGAAATAGGCCTTTTTAAAAAAAAACATATTTAGAAAGGTGCATCCAAAAAGTACCTTGCTCTTTTTTGGTATCTTTTATCAAAAGCTTCTTAAGCAGCAATAGTTTGCTTCCCCACTAATCTCATGTTAAAAAAAAAAAAAAAAATCTCAACTGCCTCATTACAATCACATTGACGCTCCTAAAAATCTGCAATCAGAGACTTGGGAAATTCTTGAAATCTGTTGTCCCAGAGACAGAGCATCGCTGCTGCTCTGCCTTGGTACCCACCAGGAACGCCACCCCCTTCGCCCACAGCCATGATGCAAAGCCAGAACCATACCGATGCCTAGGGTCCCTGTGGGCCTGCTGAGCACGCTGCAAAGCAAGTTGCTGCCGTTAATGAAGATGACCTGAACCCCCACGATGGACCGACTTTGGCAGGAGCTCCGAGGGAAGCTCCTTCCACCGCTGAAACACCAAGTATGGTTCACATCGTACAGAAGACGAGGGCAGGAGCCCACAGCGTCCCGACAGCCAAGCTGACTTGTGGCAATGGGATTTCCACTCTCCTCTTAGCACCTACCTACCGTAGGATGATCGTCCTCACTCAGACCAGCTAACGAAGTCCGAATTGCATGACCAAACCTCGTAAGATCGGAGCAGCAACCGCTATTGGGAGAAAACTGCAAAAGCCTTCAAATGCTACAGAAAGTCCACTCCTAATGAGATCTGTTTCAGTGTCAGATAAGCCAAAAAGCTTATCTTTGCTTTTTAAAGCAAACTAATAATATTTATAGAAATGGATTAGAGTGGAATCTTCTGCAAATCTGGTCACACAAAGAAACAAGCAAATTCACATTCACGGAGAGGTACTTGCCAGCTCTTGGTGCAAGAGTGAAAGAGGTCACGAATTTATGAGCTCTCACTTACAAATCCCTTCTTTTCTAGCACATTTATACAGCTCACAAAACCCTGAAAAGAGCACTTGGCGAGAAGGCTGCCAGCAAGCTCTCTGCTCTGTGAATTCTTGATCATGCTCATTTCCTACGGTCTAACGGAAACGCACACAGGATTAGGCAGAAGCATTGGATCATCTAACAGGTTCACCTGCTCCTTAACTTTCTACTCCAACAGCTAGTTCCTTTAAATTAGGATGGTAATAAGGATAAAGCAGTTATCCTGGAAGGAAGGTATAAGAAGCAAGAGCACTGCCAACTTTCATCATCCTCTATTTTTCTTAGACAAAATTAAATGCTGCTAGTGAAAACGGCTTTTTACTTTGGTAATCTCACTTCATAACCACGCAGGCCCCAGGGTGAAGTGCCTACTATTTTAAAAAGTAAAAAAAAAAAAAAAAAGTTTTAAGAATTCTACAATTTATGATTTCGCAGTGCTACCAGCACTCATGGTTGGATGCGACCTGCAAGCAAGCTCAAGCATCAGCCAATGTTAAGCAGAACAAATGCAGAAGATGTGGACAAAAGCCTCTCAAATACTGTTATTAGGATTAAGTGGAAAGTGGCCAAAACCATCCTTCCTCCCACCCAGACGTTACATTTTATTTTTAATCAGCATAAAGCTACAGGT